TGTTGCGCTCTATGATTATTATTGCATGTACAACAACCTACATAAGACTCTTGTCGGGGGCGGGGGCGAAGAGGCTGTAGTCTGCCGATATCCGAAATTYCGATGRCGGTGCTCGTTCGTTTTCACCTGCGCTCGTCCTGTTCTGCTTTTGCACTGCTCTTAGAATTAGTCCACTTGTGGAAATTGTTTTTGGGGTGCATGGCAGTTTTAGACACASTCGCGGGCGTGAGATTCATCTTGCATTTCCATGTGYCGTCYGCGGTGCTGCTTGCGTTTCCGCRTGTCCTGAGTCGCCCCTGCGCCATCACGTAACAGCCTCGCTGGGAGCAACTCTATAGGGAYACTRGTTTCTCTAAATTCATCGCAGTGGTCGCCTGCTGTCCAACTGCCTRTTCCGCCCCACTGCTCGGGTGCACCCRTAACTTTTTCCTGTTGGTTMTTTCGCTGCGAGGGCGYGCCTGGCCTATATAGGCACGGGCGTGASCTTACGCTACATCATTCACAAACCATGTGTGAGAAACGTAAGGTTGGGGGTTCAAATCCYTTTTTCCGCTCGTATCACCGCAACGTGGYGCACTATGTGGCATCCATAAGACCAGTGCCCGACATGAAGTCGGCCTGGATTAAGGTGGCCGGCCCCGATGCRGGCTGGCGCGAGCAACACGCTGCTCTTATGGGGGATTGGGGGAAGGCTCAATCCCRGAGCAGTAAGCGCGGTATTCCCTTCTTCCCTTCCTCAACTCTTCCCACCGGAAGTTTCAACGTTCCAACATTCAAACACAACAAGGAGTCGACGTCATTGTGTGGCTGTAATTATCCATCAGTGGGGGTAGCAGGTTGTGCTGCTCAAGGCACCTTGATCATCACAATCAAGGCACCTTGCTCATCACGATCAGAAATAAGCATGGATCTCAGCACACTTATCAAACTTCTCCGACAAGGATACAATCAAGGCGCCTTGCTCATCACAATCGAAAATAAGACTTAGTATGGATCTCAGCACACTTATCAAACTTCTCTGATAAGGACACAATCAAGGCGCCTTGCTCATCGGAATTATACATAAGTATGGATCTCGACACACTTCCGCATATCAGGCACACCTTGCTCATTATAAACAAGTATGGATCTCAGCACACTTCCGCATATGGGGCGAGTGGATGGGTGAGTGG